TAGCCTGATGGGTTTTCCTTTTTAGGTTAGTTGTTGCTTTTGTCTTTCTGCTTGTAGAATTTTTTTCCTTTATTTTGACTTTTGTCAGGTTTATTACTATGTGTCTTGGAGATGTCCTATTTGCTATGAATCTTCTCAGTGTTTGATTACCATCTTGTATCTGGATATATGAATCTCTTGTGCTACCAAGAAAGTTTTCCTCAATAATTCCCTTGAATATATTTGCCATGTTTTTTGGTCTTTCTTCTTCTTTCTCAGAAATACCTATAATTCATATATTAGTATACTTTTCATAGTCCTGTATTTCTCTGTGTGATTGTTCAGTCGTTTTTATTTTATTTTCTGTATGTTTGAATGGCTTGTTTAGCCTTGAGAGCCTTGCCTTCAAGCTCTGAGATTCTTTATTCTGGTTTTGTCTGTTGTTGAAGCTTTCTGATGTATTTTGAAATTTCCCTAATGATGCTTTCATTTCTTTGTGTTTTATTATATCTTTTCTTATGTTTTTCTAGCTATTTAGTGACTTTTTAACTTTTTTCATTGATTTCCTGAAATAATTTTATGGCTTCTTTTTGTTGGCTTTCAACTTTCTCTTCAACTCCATTCATCTTATTTGCCATCCATATTCTGAATTCTGATTTTGACATTTTGTCAATTTTCTTTTGGTTAGGGTCTACTACTGCAGCTCCATTGTGATCCCTTAGTGCTGTCAACCTGTTTTGTTTTTTCATGTTGCCAAAGTTCTTTTGCTGGTTTCTTTTCATCTAATTCCTGTTGTCCTGTTGATCCAGCAGTGGAGGGGAAGGCAAAATGAGAGCTGTAGTGCTGTCTTGTCCCTTGCCCTTGTAATTGTCATAGTTCAGGCTGGTGCTGGATGATTTTCATGTGGGCTGGTTGGTTGTTTCCCAGATTGTTGTTGGAATCTTCAGTTGGGGGGCTTTGTGAGACCTTCTTCATGGAGTCTGGTATTGTGGGGGATTGCTCTTCCAGGGTCCCCCTGTGAAAGTGACAGTAGCAGCTGCTTGATGCTATCTAGGCAGTAGTTCTTGGTGTCTGGGGTGTGAGTGTTTGCTCAAACCAGGTTTGGGTGTAATGTTGGCTTGAGGCTGGGTGTCCCTGGTGTAATATTGGACCTTGCTGGTTCCATGGTCCCAGGGGAAGTCCTGGAGCCTTAGGGGTGCAAAGTCACAGTACCAGCAGCTCTGGTGAAGCCTTGGAGGCAAAGCCTCACTGCCCAGGCTCAGTGGGATTCTCAAAGCTAGAACTGTGGCCTGGACGCAGGGTCAGAGCTGTGTGGGCAAAGCTGTGGTGTGACACTGCTGCATAGAACCAAAGAGGTTGAGCTGCATAGACAGGAGTTAGTTTCAGTGGCATGAGGACTGTGAAGGTAGAGCCACATGAGATCTACTTTCTTAAATTTTAAAGTGACTATACAATATAATTAAGTATAAGCACAAAAGTGACTATACATTATAGTTAACTATAGGCAAAAGATGTATAACAGAACTCTAGAACTTATTCAGCTTGCTAAACTGAAACTTTATAATGATTAATCAATCAATAACTATCCATTTCCCCTCCCCGTCTCCTGGGCAACCACCATTGTATTCTCTGTATCCATTCATTTAACTATTTTAGGTACCTTTTGTAAGTGGAACCATCCAGTATTTGTTTTTCTGTGACTGGCTTATTTCACTTAGCATAATGTTCTCCAGGTTCATTCATGTTGTTTCATATGGTAGAATTTCCTTCTTTTTAAAAACTGTATAATATATTGTATAGATACATCAGATTTTCTTTATCCATTCATCTGTTTATGAATTTATAGGCTGCTTTCATATCTTGGCTATTATTAATCATGTTGCAATAAACAAACATTGTGTTGTAGATATCTATTCTACATAATGATTTCATTTCCTTTGGATATTTACTCAGTAATGGGATTGAGGGATCATATGGCAAGGGGGAAAAAAGAGATTCTCTACAGGGAAAAGTTGACATCTTTGTATTTCCTTGGAAGTACCAAGGAAAACTGTAAGGCCCTGAGGGCACCTGTGAGTGTGTCCTTGTAAACTGGTGACTACTTATAACTGCTTTTGCAGTTTCATAGTAGCTTTTAGCTCATTTCACTACTAAAATCTCTGCCTAAGGAAAATTATAATACCATTAACATAACATGGGTTGCATAGAAACACCTGGTAGTTATATTGAGCATATTTAATATCTTTAGCTTGTGTACATACAATGACGTGGGAAAAGAATCCATATCATTCAATAAAAAGAAATTTAAGGTGTTACAATGGGCAGATTGTGTGGATTTTACTACCTGGAAAAGTCCTGTACTAGCCAGGAGTGAATGTACTGCATAAGTAACCTCTAATAAAATAATTGAATTCACCAATCTGGATTTGTCTGGATCATTCTTTGATCTCTCGGACACATCTCAGTTCAGAGGGTGGTTTTTCTATATTGTCCTAGAATTTTGCCAAAACATCTGGTATCTCTATTTTAAATTTTTTGAGGAACCACTATAGTGTTTTCCATAGCAGCTGTACAATTTCGCATTCCCACCCACAGTGTTCAAGAGTTCCAATTTCTCTGTATCACTGCCATCACTTGTTATCTTTTGTATTTTTGATAATAGCCATTATAACAGGTGTCAGGTGATATCTTAATGTGGTTTTGATTTGCATTTCCCTGATGATTAGTGATGCTGGACATCTTTTTATATAGCTGTTGGCCATTTGTATTTCTTCTTTGGAGGAATGTCCATTCAAGTCCTTTGCCTATTTATTAGTTGGTTTATTTGTTTGTTTTGTTTTGCTATTGAGTATGGGTGTTCCTTATATATTTTGGATATTAACCCCTTATCATATATGTTTTGCAAATATTTTCTCTCTTTCCATATATTGCCATTTCACTTTGTTGACTGATTGCTGTGCAGAAGCTTTTTATGTAGTCTCACTTGTCTATTTTCGCTTTTGTGCTTTTGCTTTTGGAGTCATAGTCAAGAGATCATTGCCTAGACCAATGTTATAAAGCTTTTCTCCTGTGTTTTCTTGTAGGAGTTTTACAGTCTTAGGTCTTACATTTAAATCTTTAATGATTTATTTCTAGTTGATTTTTGTCTAAATGTTCATTTTGATATTTTGCATGTAGATATACAGTTTTCCCAACACCATTTGTTGAAGAGACTATTCTTTCCTCATTGTGTATTCTTGATACTGTGTGGAAGATCAGTTGACCATATATTCACGGTGTATTTCTGGATTTTTTATTCTGTTCTGTAGGTCTATATGTCTGTCTTTATGCTAGTACCATACTTTGAATATAGTAGCTTTGTAATATATTTTGAAACTAAGAAGTGTCATGCCTACAGCTTTGTTCTTCTTTTTTAGGATTTTTTTGCTATTTGGGGACTTGTGTAGTACCATATGAATTTTAAGATTTCTTTTCTATATCTGTAAAAAATGTCATTGGGGATTTTATAGAGATTACAGTATAGATCACTTTGGGCATTTTATGATCACTTTGGGCACATGGAAATTTTAACCACATTAAATCTTCTAATTCATGAACACAGGATATCTTTCTATTTGTTTATGTTTTCTATGATTGGTTTTATCAATATTTGTACTTGTCAGTGTATTCACTGCCTTGATTTAGTTTATTAATTAGTGTTTTATTATTTTTGGTGTTACTGTAAATGGATTATTTTTCTTAATTTCCAATTCAGATAGTTGATTGGTAGTATATAGAAATGCAGTGGATTTTTTTTTTTTTCAATACAAATGCTAGAACTTGCTTTAATATGAAATTTAACTTGCTTTTCACTGCATGGTTTCTTAAAATGCAAAAAACATAACAAACACAACATAGTATTTCAATGCTGTACCTTTATGCAAATGACTTCATCTATCTTTCTTAGACATGCTGTGGTCTAGCTGATGTTAATTAAAATCGACTCAGCTTCACTTTACTCTTTTTCTCTGTACTGAAAGCTGAAAAAATACAGCTTTAAATTCCAAAGCAATTTGGTTTAAGCCTTCAAAATAAAAAAGTGTACATCCACTTCTACTGCTCTGACTTTGCCCACGTTCTTGGTTGGGATTCTCTGTGCAGTGTTGGTAGATCAGGCAGGATATGTGTAATCTGTACAAAACCACTCCAGCCAGGGTAAGGCTTCAGAAACTGAATCTTAAAAAGCAATTTGTCAAAATATTTTTGATATTTAGTACAAATACTAAATACCATAATTTTCTCCCAGCACATCTGTTTAGGCAGCCCAGTTAGCTAAATGACCCTGTGAAAGATCTGTTTATGAAATGAATAGGTGAAGTCATTTCCTGAGCTAAAAGATACAGATAAAAATGTTAATAATAGCAGCAGACAAAAAATATTCTTTTTTGTTGTTTGTTTTCCATAGTTAACAGTTTTAGCAAAATAAAAGAATATTTTAAAAAATTACTGCCTGAAAAAGAGTTTGATAGAGAATATCAAAGGCCTGATTGCTATTCTTTTGAATATAATTTTTAATTATTTCTTTAAGTTACATTCGGCCACTGTCAGATAACTTACTGGTGCATGGAAAAATGTCAACTGCAATGGTTTACATACATTTTACATTAAATATATTACTTCTTAAAACCCCCAACAGAATGAAGTCTTAAATACAAATTTTAATTTCTGAATACTCTTCCAGTAAGATTTGTAAAGGCAGGGGGGAAAAAGACTTGTTTTTTGTTTTACTGGTCTACTTCAGTAAAATTTAATCTTCAAAAGGGTTTTTAGCTTGCTATCCAGATTGCTACGATTATGACAAACATATTACTTTTTTCCAGAGTAAAAAAATGACATTTGAAAATAACATAACTCCTATGACATGTATTTTCCAAGCACGGCCTCGACTTAAAATTTTGAATACTTAAGAATTCTAAAGATTGGTATATCACCACTGCATCAGAATTTCTTTTATTATGCCAACTACTAGAGGGAACTTTTTGATAGTTTTTTATTTTACTGAAATTAAAGCTCAATACATAACTGACTTATAAACTATAGTAAAAGGACAAATATTTAGCCAGAGATATCAGTTCCTCCTGAAAAAGAATATTCACCTCCTCTCATTGCAAGTTTTCAAGGTATCTTACCAATTTTAGATAGAATTTAAAATTCACCTTAAAAATAGAACAAACAAAAGGACTAGTTAAACTGACATAAACTAAGAAAAATGTGCTCAAATTTACTGACAGAATCATGGGCACTTCATACAATACTTAGACTCTACCAGTTTTAAGTAAAATAAATAAGGAAAAAGTTATAATTACAAAGCCAGTCTTTCCCCTTGGGGAAACAAAAAGCCACTTTTGACCAATTGTTCCCTACATATACATATACTGTATATTATTATAAGCTTCTTCAGAGAAGCAAAACATATTTGTCTTCCTGACACTGGATTATCTAGCATTTGTTAGTTTTTTACATCAGGAAGGCAACTGCAAGTGTTGGGCCCAAAAGTATTTCTGGTTTACTCTTGAAAAGACCAGTAAATATGCTTTTATACATAACTGAACACAGACGAATTTATGCAGCGTGTTCAGCATCATCTCCTTAAATTATCAATACAAGCTAGCACAGATTCCAATTCCTTCTACTGCACCCCCAAGGAACTCAAATCATTACTGGTGCAATTAATGAAGAGAAGATGCCTGTCAGTAACTGGAAGGCTGTTTTACAAGAGGAGCAGGTATCTCTGCTTTCACTTCCTTGTCATATGGAACTGCACGTACAGCATGATACCTAAGCAAATAAATCAACTACCATGATCGGAAGGGCTTGTTATCCATCGTCTTTGCTTCACTGTGTGCAAAGTGTGCTGCTGCCCCCTGAGCTTCCTGCATTTCTCTTTTCTTGAAAAAACAGTGCTTGATCCTTTCCAAAATAACCAGAGAAGAAATGAGGCAGAAAGTATCTCTTCATCGTGATTCCCCCTCAGTCCCGAGACTGGTAGAAAAGGATGTAACCAGACTCAGAGTTCTTTGAGATGTCTGATGTCAACCCGTAGAATTCTTCAATAGCTTGTGCATCTATTTTTTCTACAATGTCGTCATCGAACAACAACCAAAAATCATGACTTTTAACTATTGCAATATAATGGCCTCGATTGGGACCACTTCCACAGTGAACCACAACAGCAACAAGGTCATACATTCTGTCTGGATTGGTTGCATCGCCTGAAGTGTTAAATAGACGAAGTTCTAAAGGCAAAACTACCCGGTAAGAAAGTTTTGTATATCGATGAAGCTGATCCATATATTTGAATCTCTTCAGGTGTAGAGCTAGAATCATGGGCAGTTTTTTAACTTTCATCCGTTTGTGTGCTTCCTGTTTGCTGCGACACTCTTCACAGTAATATTTGTATTCACTGCAGAGAGTTTCTGTGTTGCTAAAACCCCTTAAGCAGTGAGTAATTGATGTGTTTTGTTCCACGTCAACAGAAAGATCTAAAAAATCTTCATCTTTGCTGCTTATAGTTTCACAAGTAAGACATCTGGTTTCATTAGTTAATGTTCCCTGAAAAATCTCATGAACCCACGTTGGGTCTGGTGTGCTGTTGTTATTTTCACTATCAATATTACCATTAGGTAAGCGACCATTTTGTTTTTCCTGCTTTCTCTCTTCTTGTAAAATATCAGCAATTGTATTTAGCAGGTAATTTAAGAATTCATGGGCATCTTGTTGCATGTAGTTGTCAAAAAGCTCATTTTCTTTCCGTAACCTTGTTATGAACTTCTTAGGAGGTATTACTCCAACCTTTTTCTTCTGAGTGGCTATGCTATGGAAGAGATCTGCTAAGCATGTAAGAAGGTTCTTCTTCTTCCTAGGTTGACTCTTGTAGGCTAGAACTTTTTCCTGAAACGGACGACAAAAATAAAGTGCTTGAAGAACTGAATTGCAGTAGCAGGTATTCCCAAAATTGACTAATCCAAAATAGTGCTCATTGACTGGAAACTGTTCTGGACCAATCTCTTTCTCTAATGCCGAAGCATTGGCGCCCATGGTACAGATGGAGGCGAATTTGGAGACTGTCATTAGGATTTCCATCCGCCCAGCGCCATCTTCCACCCAATCACGGCGGCGGCGGGCGGGGGAGGAGGGGAGCCGGCCGCTGCTCGCACTGCAGCCCGCGGGCGGACCCCGAGCCACCGCACTGCAGTGGATTTTTGTATGTTGATTTTGAATCCTGCAACTTTACTGAATTTGTTTCAACAGTTTTTTTAATGGCATCATTAGAGGTTTTTTTACATAAAAAAAGATCATGTCATCTGGAAACAGAGATAATTTAATTCTTTCTTTCTCATTTGGAAGCCTTTTATTTCTTTTTCCCTGGTTAATTTCTCTAGGTAGGACTTCCAATACTACATTAAATATAAGGAGCAAGAATTATCATCCTTGCCTTATTCCTGATCTTAATGAAAATGAACCAAACAAGTATTTTGCCAACCTCCCAGCTAGAGATTCTGGGAATCTCTCAAACAGCAAGCTGCTGAGTATAATGTTAGCTTGTGAGCTTACCATATATGGCTTTATTATTTTGAAGTAAATTCTTTGTATCCTAATTGTTTTTAATTTCTCTTTATCTTTCCTTTCTCTTTGTCTTTTGTGAGAAAGAAAAGTTTCCTTTCTCTTTATCTTTTGTGTATTTTCTATAGGCATTTGTGGTTACTATGAGGCCTATATAAAAGATCTTATAGTTATAAAAGTTTCTTTAAAGATAATAACTACTTAACTTCAATCCTGTACAAAAACTCTACAGTTTCCTTTCTTCTCACACACTTTATTATTGATGTCACTATTTACATCTTTTTATACTGTATATCTACTAATGTATTTTTGTAGCTATATTCTTAATACTTTTGTCTTTTAACTTTTATAGTTGAATTAAAGCTTATTTATAAACCACCATTATAGCATTACAGTACTCTATATTTGCCTATGTAATTACCTTTACTAATAAGTTTTATACTTTCACATTCTTTCATGTTGCTGTTTAGTAGCCATTGTTTTCAATGTAAAAAATTCCCCCTAGCATTTCCTGTAAGGCAGGTGTAGTGGTGATTAACTCCCTTAGCTATTGGTTGTCTGAAAAAGTCTTAACTCTCCTTTATTTTAGGAGGACAGTTTTCAAAGTATTACATTCTTAGTTAGCAGTTTCTTTCTTTAAGCATTTTTATTCCAATCTGGTTTGTAAGGGTTCTGCTAGGAAATTGCTGATAGTCTTTTGACCATTCCCTTGGATGTGATGAGTTACTTTTCTCTTGTTGCTTCCATATAGTCTTTGATTTTTGAGAATTTTATTATAAAGAGTGTCAGTCAAATTCTTTATATGTAATCTATTTGAGGTTCTCTGGAATTCATGGATATGGATGCTCATTTCCCTTTCCATATTTGGGAAGTTTGTGACAACTATTTAAATAATAACCAAATATTAATCTTTAAATTAAATCTTAAAATTAAAATAATCTTTAATTTAAACTTTTAAATTAAAATACGATTTCTAGTTCTTTATCTCTCTTTTTTCTTTGATTGCCATTGCGCATATATTGGTTTGCTTGATGTTGTCCCATGAGTCCCTAGGATATATTCACTCTTTTTTCTTTTTGCTTCTTTGACTGGATGATTTGAAATCACCTATCTTTGAGTTTACTGATTCTTTCTTCTGCTTGATCTAATTAAGTCTACTGTTTAACCCATCTAGGAATTTTTCAGTTAAGTTATTGTATTTTTCAGCACAAGAATTTCTGCTTGGTTCCTTTTTATAGTTTCTGTCTTTTTGTTGATTTTACCATTTTGTTCATGTATCATTTTTCTGATTTTATTTAGGGATCTGTGTTTTTTTGTACTTTACTAAGCTTCTCCAAGATGATTATTTTGAATTCCTTGTCAGACAATTTATATACCTCTATTTTTTTAGTGTTAGTTACTAGAGATTTATTTTGTTCCTTTGATTGTGTCATATTTCCCTGATTTTTCTTTTCCTTATACCTTTTCATTGGTGTTTTCACATTTGAAGAAATAGCTACTTATTTATACACTGTCTTTGACAGGAAAAGTCCTTTGCCAATCTCCCATGAAGAGATTCTGGGAGCCTCTCAGGTAGCAATCTGCCTGCCCTTTTCCTTTGTTCTTAGCTTCCCTGTTTCTTAGTATCCAGACCATGCTGGTTCTGTTTGAAGAGAGACAAAAACTGGACCTTTGCTTAGTACACTAAGAATTATGTTATTTTTGTATGCAGTTAGAATTTTTTTATGTAATCAAATTTATTAAGTGCTAAGAGGCACGTCTTCTTAGTGCTTCTGGATTTATATCATAGTGAGGAAAGTTTTGTACTTCCAAGTTTGAGACACTCACCTTTATTTCTTTATAGTACCTATATCATTTTATTTTTTACATTTACATCTTTGATCAATTTGGTATTTATCTGTTGTATGGTTTAAGAAAAGGATCTGATTTTATCCCTACACCATTTATAAAAAGTATATTTTCCCCCTACTGTGACAATTTATTGCTATTCTGTTCCAAATTCACCTTTCATTGGCTGCTATATAATAATTGAGATGATCACTTTACTTTTTTTTCCTTAGCCAGCTGGTATAACGTTAAGTTTTGTCAGAAGAGGGTGCTAGAAGTTCATTGGGGATGATAGGAATTTCCCCAGTGCATAGATCCTATAGTACAACTGGCTATCTAGCACCCAACTTCCACAGTGACCAGTGGTTAACAGTTTCCAGTGGTTATAACATGTTCTTAGAATCTCCTTGTATGGTTTTTCAACAGGCTATCCATTATGACACCTCATGGGTATGGCTTTCTTCAGCATCCCAGAGGGTGTGTTTCAGTGAGTAACGCTGGTGTGTCAGCTGGTGTGTCAGAGCAATTTCTCTGCCATCCACTGATACTGGCTGAATCCTCTTCACAAGGTCTGCACTTCAGTGCTGGTGTGTGTGTGTGTTGGCTCTTTCTTGTATACACTTATCTCAACACTAGGGGTCTATCTGATATTTCTATATTGCATTGAGTTTTCTTTATGTCTTACTAGCCAATCCCTTATTACTTCAATACTTTGTTATAGTTAATATTAATAATCTTTATATTAAAATTTCCTTGTTCAAATGACTATGGTATTTATCACCTGGTGAAAATATACTAATATACTAAGTGAATGGAGATGTTGCCTTTATTATAAAGAAATGCCATATATAATTTGATCTACTTCTGGATTTTAAAATTTTCTTCCATTAGTTTGTCTAAATTTGGGCCAAATTCAAACTGTCTTAATTATAGCAGTTTAATAGTATTTAAAAAATTTGTCAGTGCTTGCTGTTCTTCATTGCTTTCCTATTCCAGGATTTAACTAGCATTTCTTGGTTGTTTTTAAAAACAAATTTTTGATCAGCTTATCTAGCTCCAGGGAAAAACTTGATGGTGTTAAAAATTTTTGGATTGCAGTCAATCTATAAATTCACTTAGGGAGGACATCTTTATGATATTAAGCCATTCTATCCAAATCAAAATATAGCTTTCTATTTGTGAAAGAGTACTGATGGGTATTTTTGAAGTGTCTTATATTTTTCCTCACATAAAGCTTGGACTTTTAGGTGTTTTTTTTCTTTTTCTTATTGTCATTTTATTTTCCAGTTAGTTTCTGTTTGTAAATATGAAGTTATAGTTTTGTGGTTTTATAGCTAGCTAATTTAATCAATCTTTTTTATTATTTGTAATAAGGTTTTCATTGAGTTCCTTCTTCATTTCTGATTCTCATTACTCTAATTGCTTTTTCTTGTCTAATATCATGAATAATATCTCCATCACAATATTAGGTATTAGTAGAGATGGCATTTTTATGTTAGTCTCAATTTTAGTGGAAAATCCTCTAGTATTTTTTTATTAAGTAAGTTGTGGGCTTTTGTATTTAGGCAGTACAATTAATTCCTATTTTATTGAGTCAAAAAGTGTGTGTGGGCACTAGATTTTGTTGAAGCCTTTCCTATATTAATGGAGACTCCTCACATGACTTTTCTGCTTAATCTCTATTAATAAGACAGATTATATTAATGGCTTATGAATATTGAATTATTTTTGCATTCCTATAATAAACTTCATTTGGTCATCTTTTATGTTTGTTAATATTTTACTTGAGGTTTTTATATCTATATTCCTAAGTGAGATTAGTCTATAATTTTCATTTTGATGTACTCTTCATCACAGTTAGAAAGGAATATATTTTTTCACAAAATAAGGTTTGAAATTTTCCTTCTTTTTTATGTTCTAGTATAGTTTAATCAGCATTTGTGTTATCTAATTTTAAAAGATTTGGTAGAATTTCATTGTGAAACCATTTATGTATGATGCTCTTTTGTGAAGGAGTTTGTGAATTACTCTGTATATTTCTTTCCTGGCACTAGATTTAATTAACTTTTCTGTCTCTACAGGGGAAACTTTTGCTCGGTTATATTTTTCTTAAAAAGTATCTATTTTCATTTATGTTTTCTAATTTATTTGCACAGAGTCATACAGAAATGATCTCATAATTTAAAATTTTTCTCTTTTGTAGTTATTTCCTTCTTCCAGTTATTTCTAGTTTTTTAATGTTTATGCTTTCTCCCTTTTTTCTTGAATAGGTTAGGTAGTGTTTTGTATATTTTATTGATTCTTTTCAGATTTCAGATTTATTTGTTAGTTATTGTTTTACTTAGTATTTTTAAATCTCATTAATTTTTAATTTCATTATTATTAATTCCCTTTGTCTACTTTATTTTGGTTTTCTTTGTTTTTGTTTTTTATCTTGCTTTTATAGTTGGGTATCTAATTTTTACTTTTTTTTCTTTTTTGAGTTAGCATGTAATGTTATAATTATTTCTCTGGATAATTGCTTAAACTCCATCCCACAGATTCTGACTTGTTAAGTTTATAATCAGAGTTAGTTAAGTTTAGGGGGATCAAGTGATCTATGTTCTAGAATGATATTTTTCCTTCAGTGGCAAGTCAGACAGTTGGCGGGAAAACTCCCTATAGTAGTTCAAATAAGAGATTATGAGAACCTGAGTCAAGGCACTGGAAGCAGTAAAGGAGAAGAAAATATGGTTTCAGATGTAATAGCTGAAGCTATGTATGATCATGAGGCCATTTAAATCTGTATGGTA